CTCGAAACCTGATAAAAGGATTTGGGCCATTCACCCCAATGGGTCTTTTTCTTGTAGCTCCTTTTTCAATTTCCTCTACCAAACTTCCTCTCAACAAAATTTCCCTTCCAAAGAAGTTTGGTGTAGACCGGTCCCCCCAAGGTTATGGCTTTGTGCTGGGAAGTGTGGCATGGTAAAGTAGACATGATGGATAACCTACAAAAGAGAAGACCCGTCCTTTGTATTTCACCAAACTGGTGCATTCTTTGCAGATCTCATGGTGAGGATTGTAATCATCTATTTTTATCTTGTAGTGTAACTGCAGAGCTCTAGGTTTGGCTTCTATCTTTGTTTGGGTGTAGTTGGGATATACCAACAGAAGTAAGCACAATCTTTAACCCTTCTTTTTCTCTTGGCCCCATAAAAGAGGAAGGAAAATGTAGAGGTGCACGCAAGCAGCATTGTTATGGACAGTATGGGAAGAAAGGAATGCCAGGATCTTTCAAGAAAAAGGAAGGAACAGTAAAGCCCTAAAGGACTGCATTATGTATAGGTCAATACATTGGTTAAAGACTCTAGAATTATTTAACCATTTCTCTTTTACTGATTGTTGTAAGGATTGGAAGTTGGTAGCAAGTTGTTCCTCCTACAAGGTAAGGGTATTGACTAGCTGGGTCCCCCCTCTTGGTTCTTTGAAGCTGAATTTTGATGGGAGTGGCCAGGGTAACCCGGGTCCCTCTAGGATGGGAGGTGTACTGAGGAATGAGGCTGGAGAGGTTGTCTTACTCTACTCTGGCCCTTTAGGTGTTGGGAACTCTATCCGGGCAGAACTGTTAGATGCAATACAAGGAATACTTCTTGCAAAAGAAGTGGCGTGGAGCAGCTTCTGATTGAAGGAGATTCTAAGACAGTGGTGGACTAGTTAAATAATCCAGAGGATGTCACTTGGGGCTACAAAAATGAGTTAAAGAAATTCAAATGGCTGACAAGAAATATGTCTACAACAGTACAGTGGGTTGGGAGATCAGCTAATGCATTTGATGTCTTGGCAAAACAAGGGATAAATAGAGAAGCATTGTTCTGGGCACAACTGTAACTCTTGTTTAACATCAACATTCATGTAATCTCTGCTGTAGTTTTTGTATTTGCTGTTCGGAGAAGCGGCACCTCGCGCCTCTAAGGGGATTTTCATGTAACCAATCATTGAATTAATGGAAGATGATTTTATTTATCAAAAAAATAGGAAAAGAACAGGCCCTATGTGTCAAAGGTTTCTGTTATGAGTGGGAGACTAACATTTCAACTTGCCAAATTGGCATTGACTATGCTCCTGAGATCCAAGAGTCAATGAATGATTAGATTCGATGAATGATTGGAGATTGTTACTGTAAGAGCTGCACACTGGGTGAAAACTTTGAAATTATTCTCAGACTTCTCTAATGGATGACTTTTCCTGGAACTAGAGATTGATTGCTCCTTCTTCCTCCAGGAAACACAAGGTCTTGGAGGCCTAGTTCCCCCCAAGTGGTGGGTGGATAAAGCTGAGCTTTGATGGAAAGCCTTGGCAATCCAGGGCCTTCCGAAATTGGTGGAGTGTTTACAGATGAGAATGGGAATATATGTGACTCAGTTGGAGCTGAACTCATGGCTGCTATTGTTGGGGTGCAAAAAGCTAAGGATATGAGAATTATAAGGCTGATTGTTGAAGGGGATTCAAAAATAGCCGTTGACTGGTTGAAAAAAGGAGAAGGGGTTCTATGGCATTTCAGAAGATTCAAGTTGATATCAAGAAATATGCAAATCCATGTAAGATGCGTTGGGAGGTATGCTAATGGGTTGGATGGATTAGCTGAGCAAGGAATTCATAGGCACCATTTGTTCTGGACTCAATGTTAATTGTGTGGGGGGATATTTGATGTAAAGGGTCTTTGCCCTAACAACTTATTGTACCCTTTTGTTCGTTAATCTTAATAAAAATTTCTTGAGTTGCTGATCAAAAAAAATGATTAAAGGGAGACAGATCTAAAGGATAAGGTTGTGAAAGTGAATGAGTTGTAAAGCAAGGGCCTAGGACATCCTTCTTGTGGTTCAAGAATAAGCATGATTCTCACATTGATGATGTGGTTGGACCATTCGAGGGCCTTTTAATCAACAATTAGACAAAGGGAAAGACAAGGATAGTCCAGATGAACCTTATTATCTGCAAAATGGAAGTAGTTCTTGTGGACAGCAAAGTGGTTAAGGGTGACCTTTCCAGTACAAGAGTAATATTTTTTTATTTATTTATTTGTTCCTTATGGCCATCAATACATCTATAGCTCAATGTTTTGAAAATTGTAAGTGTATTGTAAATGAAAGGGCAGTGCAGTGCACAAGGCTCCTACTAATGCAGGGTCTTGGGAGGGACAGATTGTCAGATGTACACAGCCTTACCCCAACACGTACAGAGAGGCTATTTCCAAGATTTGAACCCTAGTCACCCAGGTCATAATTGTATCATAAATCATAAGTTTTTTTTCAATTTTTAAAAGTTGTTAAAAAAACTATAAACATACCTAAACTAGTCAAAAAATGGACAAAATGACTTTCCACTAACTTTCTAACCTGTAGGCATCATATAAGTAGGTAGTAGTAGTGACAATTGCAGTACTTTTATTACATACCATAGTCAACATTAATGATTCAATAGATACCATGGTTTGACTAAGTTCAACTCCAATTTATTTCTCTTTTTTCAGCAATAAAAAACAATACCTTTAGTTATCCTCATTTCCAAATTAAAAAAAATAATAATCATAATGTTTTCTGAAGTCTAAACTCTATTGCTAAAAGTATTTTTATGTCTCACAAGATTCAAGAATAAAACAAATCAAATTTGATTATTTGAGTCTTATACACATCCAAGAATAAGATAATTCAAGTGTTCGACAAATTACACACATCAATTGTCAGTACAATAGTATGATGCTACAAATAAAAGTTATAAAATTAAAGAAATTAAATTCTAATGCCTACAATGAGATGTAAGTTTTATGGATACAATTTAGTTCTAGTCTAAAGAAATCAAATTCTAAAGTCTAAAACGACATGACGTGCTTGATAATCTCATTTCAAGGAGAAAAATATAAAAAAGGGAAAACGAATAGAAGGAATGACACAAAGCCACTGTTTTCATGTGAAAAGAAACAAAACCAAAGAAAAAATAGAATACGGGGCGAAGCCCCTCTTTTATGTCAAAAAAGAGTGAAAAACACAATGACACACAACCCTGTTTTTGCATAAAAAATGGGAGAGAAAATAATGGAATGGAGCCCCTGTTTTATGTAAAAGAAGATGGAAAACAGGGATAAGCCATTGTTTTAACATCAAAACCAAGGGGAGTGGATGTATTAGGGTGGAGCCCCTATTATGATGCATTCTTCTGGGGCTTTTTCTTTTGACATCATAGGATGGATGTGATTTGGAAATCAGGACTTCATGTGTGAGATCCTGATTGATAGATCAGCTATGGACTTGGATCAGAATAAGGACAAGGAAGGTATAAGGGTTGTTAAACCATGTTATCGTGATTCTATCCCTCGGTTGATGGAACCATTAGGTGACATTTAATTGTAGTAAACAAGGCCTATCCAATCTGCAAGTCAAGTCAATAGTTCTCAAAGCCATTGAATCTATGTTACGGAAGTGTTCTCTAATCTGTGAAATGGATTTCTTAGGGCTGGGTCTAGAAACAAATTCAAATTGGTCTATAAAAGAAAAGGACCTGATGTAAGTCTTATTTGTGGCCCCACGACTCTAAAGTTTTGGTACAAATCATTTGTAGTTCATTAGATTTTAGATTATTCCTTTTTGGTAAGGAAGAATATGAACTATCACTAAGTGAGGATATACTATATAGTGCTTTCCACTAGTCTGCAGTGTGTAAGGGTAGGTCACATGTTTTTGTTTCAAATGTCAATCTTGGAAAGGACCAAAAAAGATCAAAGTAGTAATCATAGTTGTCGAGGCAGCTGCCTAGGCGACAAGGCACCCTCAGAGGCTCACCTTGCCTAATCGCCAAGCAGTTCTGTATGTTGTGGTATAAAATACTTTTATATTCTTAATTTTTGGAAATTATAATTATAAAATAGACATTATTAAACTACAAATTCATTTTGTATGTTTATATATTATTTTCTTTTTATTTTTCTTATTTGTTAGGGTTTAATCAACACATACATTGCTAACTGTTGTATTTGTTTATCAACCGCTGCATTGAACCCTCAAAGACTTCAAAACCTGAACCAATAAGTAAGGAAGAACTCAAATTTTTGTCTAATCAACACATCTTCTTCAGTTTTTCTCCTATAACAAAAATAGGGGTTTCAGCCCCTATGTTTTTTTAAATGTTCTTTTCTTTCTTCTTTTTCTTCTCATGAATATGTTGATTTTCTATACTTTAACGTGAAGCCTTTACTTTTCCTATGAAAAGTATAGAAAATTATTAAGGAAATATGGTTATGAAACCTAGGAAACTACCCTAGGATAGATGTTTTTTACTTAGAAAATCCATCACCTAGGCAACTAGGCAACGAGGTGCCCCCTGTCACCTAGCCTCGCCTTGGCACCTTGAAAACTATGGTAGTAATAAATGATTTAAGTGTTCATAATTTAATAATGGATATAGCATTAAACAGAATGGAATGGGAAACAGGATTCATGTAGCCGACCCCATATAGTTTGAATGAGGCTTAGATGATGATGACGACGATGTCAATCTTTGAAAGAATTCCGGACTTGTTCAGGTGTATAGGGTAGATAATTGGGGATTAAAGATGGTATATATATAGAAAAAGCATAGGTTGAAATTGGATGCCACATCCGGTCGGCCTTTCCTAACCTCCATATCATAGAGTGGAGAAGCGGATGTCCAGATAAGCTGATCAATATGTCATGGCATAGAGGGGGCACCAAAAATATTATAATATGCTTAGATGTCACAAATTTACAAATTTATGTGAACAAAGAGGAAACGCTATTACCTTGGTGACGAATGTGCCTTTCGGAACCAACAATTCGGTCGCGAGCTTGACTGAATCAATGACTAAAGAGGCCTGGCTGGTGGCCTCTTGTGCCCAAGCGCCTCCGACATTAGGCGATCCATCGTGCAACACAACATCAAAAGCTCGACAGCCGTTCTCTGACATTAGCTTTTTTATGGTAGCACGACACTTAGGCGTGGTGATGTCTTCTTCCACGGAGACTGCGCCTCGTATCGGCCGAATGGGAAAGAGGTCGACGCCGAGGACGAAGCTGCCGACGGGGACGCGCTGTACGGCCACTTGCATCCAACCACCAGGTGCGGCACAGAGGTCGAGAACAGAGTGGGCGGAGGCCAAGAAGCTGAACTTGGCCTCCAGCTGGAGAAGTTTGAACGCTGCTCGTGAGCGGTAACCTTGCTCCTTGGCTAAGTGGTAAAACTTGTCAAGCCGATGTTTTCCCTTCACCTTCCCCATCTCTCTCCCTCACGCCTCAGGTTCGTTGCAGGAAGGTTTTCTCTTCACCTTCCCCGTCTCTCTCTCTCTCTCTCTCTCAGGCCTCAGACTCGTCTCGTTGAAGGCGGTAGGGTTTTAATAGGAGATCGCATCCTGTGGACCCTCCGGTGCACGGGAAGCGTGTACCTGCAAATGAAAAGCAAACAGGTGGCTTTATTGACTTAACTGAAATTTAACGGGAATTTTCTGTTAAAGGTGGTCCAACTAGTTGAACCGGGCAATGGAAGACAAAAACAAAATAATAAGGGTAAATTACAAAAACCCTTGTACTATGGAGTTTGTGTTAAAACCCCTTGTACTTTGTTTTGCCATAAAGACCCCCTGTATTATGACCATAAGACAGAATACATTAAATTACCAAAATATCTATCAAACTTTTTTTATTTTTTTTTGTCCTTTTTCTCTTAAAACCTATTTAACCTATTGTTTTTGTCTTTTTTTTCCTCTCCCTCACCGTCCTCTCTTTGGCCATGAGGAGAACTAAAGGATGGATACGACCATTCAGTTCAACACCTCATAACTTGGAAAACTATACCTCTTCTATCTCTTATTTTCTCTCCTCAGAAAAACAGAGGAAGACACCGAAAGAGTGAATGACTACGGCTCCTCTATGAGGTTGGTGTTGGTCTGGGAGTTACTAGTTAGCCATAAATATGGCTATGGCCTGCCAATGTACGTATGTGCCATGACTTAACTGGATTTCTTAGGAGCTCTACTGCTAGATACCCAATGCTTAATTGTGTTCTTTTTTTCCCTACTTTGTGCTTTATCTACTTTTCTTGGATATTCAATTTCCAAATATAATGTGGAAGTGTTCTTTGATGTATTTTGTCTACTAATCAACGAAACATTGTTGATAAAAAAATTATGTAGTATTAATTCCTCCTTTTTGTTCCCATCGATGGGATTGAAGACAAAACACAAGAAATCAACGCCAGCTATTTTGATTCTTCGGTACTCCAATATGACCATGATTCCTTCTCAAAACCTTTTTAATCATCAACACTATGACGGTTATGATGGTGGGAGTGGTTGTAGAGAAAGTTGTTATACAGGGAGTTGCGTTGGTCTTATGAGCCAAATATCAGGGTATGACCCTTGTAACCAAGCGTGTTTAGGATCAGAATCCGATCTGGTTGTCGGTCAAATGACTGAAGATGACTCTAGAACCAGTAGTCTCAACGAAGCCAGCTCCAGCTCCAAGGAATTGGATTGCAATTCAAAATAGAATTAAAGAAAACAGCGAAATGATGGAAACGAGGTCCTAGAATGCAGAGGCCATATGAAAGCGAAAATCGGAGAAACGATATACCTTTCATTCTCTGTATGCGTTTTTGGATTTCCTGAGCGCAGGCTTCGCAATGCATGTGGACTTTCAAAACTACTATAATCACTTGCGGCTGCATAAAACAAACACCAACTTATGTTCAGATGGAATCTTTAGAAGCTAATCAGAGAGATCTGAAGATCTTTCTCTTTACGACCATTTTATGTTAAGATGAACTAACCTCTTCTTTCTTCTCCTTTGGTTTAACGTTTTCTTTGTTCTCTTCATCCTTCTTAGGTTCTTCGGCCGGGGGTTTCGGGATCGGAGTAAGCAGCTCCACCTGCCTATGACTCTTTTTCTGAACTCTGTCCAACACCTTCAACGGATCTGCCTTTCCCCCTTAACCACCACCTTATGCGTCCTGCAATTGGTGATTACGTGGCCGGAAGAACCGGGTTTAAGCATAATCAGATGGAACCAACCACTCCAACAGTCAGATCAGTGGTGGTACCAGTATCATCGGTACGCCTTTGTTCTTGCCACACCCGAGGACCAGTTTGAGTTTTCCTCAACCAAAGTTCCCATGGGGATATAGGCCTAACCCATGAAATCCAACGGCTTCATCCTCTTCTTGTTCTCCAATGCTACTGCCTACAACTTATTACGCTCGACAGTTTCAACAACCGACTTTAGACGTTGTTAGTCCGAGCTGATGAAGATAACAGACGAGAGAAGAAAAAACAAAGTACAGGGGAAGGGCAAGAAGAGAGATCGGGGGRGAGAGAGGAGAGAGAGGAGAGAGAAATGCGAAGGAACGGAAGGATAGTATCAGAAGGTCGGAAAAGATGAATAGTATTTTTCTCGTTACTTATTTGAAGAATAGTATAAGGATTAAAAAATATTCTTAGTCTTTTTGGACAGAAGGCTAACGGAAGGGAGTCTTTGTTTGTCTGACGGTCATAGTACAAAAGAGTCTTTATCGCAAAACAAATTACAGGGTCTTTGTCACAGACCCCATAGTACTGGGGAGTCTTTCTAATTTACCCAAATAATTAAACCCAAACATTTGACTCTCATTCGAACTCTCAGCATGCTGAGACAAAACCACCGGTGGTAAACTCTTCTGTTTTTCCCCTTTTATTCTTCTTCTTTTTCTTCCGACCACCTGTAGTAAAGAATGGCGTATTGGATCCTGTCCTGTTGCTGCAACGGTGAATCATCACATCTCCTTGCATCAAAAGCCACTCGCTACACCGCTGCCATTGCAGAAGATGCCAACTGCCTTTTACCATCAAAAGCCACTCACAATCCCACTGGCATTTGCCTCTCTCTTCTATCATTGCTTACTGCTGCTTGCATCGCTAATTTCTTAGCTAAATCTTCCATCGTTTTTTCCTCTGTAATATTTGGGTAGAGACTTTCACCGTATACCACCTAGGTTCCCTATCTAGCTTGTGTTACAACAACGATGTTTTATGCGAACTCGAACCCTCGAGTATTTTCCCCATTCACCTTGTTTTTAACCATCTCCATCGTACAGGCTCTACAATTTGTTCGGCTAGCTTATTCCCGAACCCAGAGGCGTTCAAATAACCACATCTTTTGGGTTAATGTCTGGGCTCCACCTTTGTAGCAATAGTGGATATTCTTGGACTCAAAAAATCGATCCCATCAACGGAATCTCTGATAGAAGCGAAGAAGAAGAAGAACTTACAGCCGGTCGCCGGACACCGGTCTCCGGTCATCGGTTGGTTCTTAACTCCGAATGTTGATTGCTGTAGTGCCGGTGGTTTGGTCACAGAATGCAGAGGCCTGAGAGACGGTGGGAGGGGAGTTTTTTTTTTTTTTTGGTAAATGGTGGGAGGGGAATTCGAATGAGAGAAGAAGCCCAGATGTTTTGGGTTTTATTGTTTTTGTTTTGTCATTTAGTGGAGGGTTCAACCGGTTGGCTCGTGTTAACAGAGAAATCCCGTTAAATCCCTGTTAAGTTAATAAAGCCACGTGTTTATTTCTCATTTGCAGTGCACGCTTCCCATGAACCAAAGGATTCACAGCATTCGGCCTCTTTTAAAAAAGGTAAATTACAAGAACCCCCTGTACTATGGGGTTAGTGACAAACACCCCTATACATTATTTCGTGACAAACACACCCTCCAAACTTTTATGTTTCAACAAATACCTCCTCAGCTGTTAAGTTAGATGACGGAAAGCATTAAATTACCAAAACACCCTACTAACCTTTCTCTATTTTCCTTTTTTGCCATTCTCTCTTGAAACCTAACTGACTGAAAAAAATATATTCATTGATTCTCACTGAAAAATACTTTTGTCATCTCACTGGTGCATTTAAAGGATTATTAGACAATAAATGAAATTGAGATATAAAAACTAGAGTTCCACAGTTGGTCCCTGCTCCATTTATTTCATACCATCTCCGAACAGAGTTCGGTAGTTCATTTTGTCATCTCCAACTAGTGCGTTTAAAGGATTATTAGAAATTCTCAATTCTCCCCTCTTCATTAATTGCGTGGTGGTCATGGACATGGGATAAAGACCAAGTTGATGTGGCTACTAGTAATGGCTGCTAACCACCGGCACTGAGTAATGTGCTCTACATTCCAACCGTCCGACGAGGAGTTTACAAGTGTAAGAGAAAACTGAAAAACGCATCTTCTCATAATGAAATCGGAAACCCAGTTATTAAATGATGATAAATGCATACAGAAATTCAATTAAAAGGTTGAACACGACAAACTATTACTTATTATTAGCTTTAATAGAAATTTGGGAACCAGAAGATAATAAACAAAACTAAAAGGTAAAATTATGGTGTAGCAATAATACACAAATAAGGAACAAAATGCGTTGAGGTAGAAAGAAAGAGAAAGACACAACCCCCCTCCTCTCTCTCTCTCTCTCTCTCTCTCTCCTCTTTGCAATTGAAATCACAATCTCCTCCTTTTTTTTGTTTTCTTAGTTAAAGACTGAGATTCTCTAGTATTCCTTGAATCACAACATGTGGCAGAAATCACAAACTCCCCCTTTTTTGTTTTCTTAGTTAAAGACTGAGATTCTTTAGAATTCCTTGAATCACAACATGTGGTAATCGCCTGTTTGTGCATTGAGAGTCTTTGATGAACAAAGAGTTTTTGAGGTTTCAATACGACGGGAGTTTAGGACCCAAAGATTCTACTCATTCACATTTACGGTAAGTTGTTAGCCAGGAACTAACAGACCTGATTTTCTTTTCTTCCACCAGGAGTTTTAAGTCAATTTCAAGGAGAGTGCATTCATATTCAAATTTATTTGCTTTTCTTGGAATTCTTGTATGTAGGAGTACAATTGCTCTATCGAGTTCTTCTGCCTGACATTCCTCATTTAAGAATGGAAGATTATTCACAGGTAATTTAGGCATTTAAAAATTTTTAAATAGTTAGATGAGAATTTTTTTTTTAAATTAACTGACTGAATATTAACAAAGGGGATCTGCAGAAGAAGCCATGACATAAAGACAAGCTTCACAAGAGGACAAGAACCAACACACACACGTACCACATATATTATCTTTTGATACATAAACATTATTCTTCAATTTTCCCCTCTCATTTGCAGTTGCAAGGGTCACAACTGCAGTTGGATCCGCACCTGCAACCTTTGCTCTCCGCTCTAGAGTTCATTTCAAACACTTTCGAGTATGTCTTCTAAGGAGAAATCCCAACAACAATGATATTAGTGGTTGTCTTCTCGCCAAAGAAGCTCATGTCGGGGTGTTTCTTGCA